GGTGGTGATGCTGGCGATGATGATGATGATGGTTGATGATGATGGATGATGATGGTGATAATGCTGGTGATGATGATGATGATGGTTGAGAGATGATGGATGATGATGATGGATGATGGTGGTGGGTGGTGGCGATGCTGGCGATGATGATGATGATGGTTGATGATGATGGATGATGATGGTTGATGATGATGGTTGATGATGATGGATGATGATGATGGATGATGGTGGTGGGTGGTGGTGATGCTGGCGATGATGATGATGATGGTTGATGATGATTGAACGGTATGTCCAGTCTTGAGACATGGAAGCTTTCCTGCGTGCAAGACATTAATTGTCATTATTGTGTACAACAATAAAAGGCTAAGCCTTAATCGAACACTCTCTCCATGCAGTTGTAGTGCCAATCAACAACTTTTTATCTCTGTTAGTCCGTGTCCATCTTTAGCTGATGGGCACTTCATATATGTTCACGGTTGAAACGGCCCCATGACAATTAAGAATGTCTCACCATTGGAACCTCATTTGCCAGTAAAAAATATGATAATTGTTTTTTTACCCTTCTATCTGGCAACAAAACTGACACCTTTTGGCGTCATCTGGTCCAACACCATGTGAGACTAGGCTCTAAGGAAAGCTGTCTCGGGTGTGGACCAATCAATTTCAGGGACAGCGCATACATTATCAGAGTTATGTTTTTGTTTGCATTATGACCGCAGGTATTGTGGTCTATGTAAACATGACTCCTTGTAAAAAAAGGTGTCAGTTTTGTTGCCAGATGGAAGGGTATAAAAAACAATTATCATATTTTTTACTGGCAAATAAGGTACCAATGGTGTAAATGCTTACCCCGAGCTCTCATACTCTGATGGTGCATTGTCTTTGAGTTGTGCGCCTTTTAGCGTCATCTGGTCCAACACCATGTGAGACTAGGCTCTAAGGAAAGCTGTCTCGGGTGTGGACCAATCAACTTCAAGGACAGTGCACACATTATCAGAGTTATGTTTTGTGTTTGCATTACGACTGCAGGTATTGTGGTCTATGTAAACATGACTCCTTGTAAAAAAAGGTGTCAGTTTTGTTGCCAGATAGAAGGGTAAAAAAACAATTATCATAAGAATGTCTCGTCAACTCGAAGCTCTTGCAAAGCGTCACGAGTATACAGCGCGCTGTCCTGCAACGAGTCGGTCAATCTGCGGGCCTGAAGAAGGGACGTTGCCTAAAACGTCTGATCATCTTATACGTCCATTATAATTGGGTAGTGCGCGTTCGTGAAGGTTGTGGCAAATTGGTCGAGACTCGGTGAAATGTACACGGGGTGCCCGCGATGGCTTTATCCTTTGGCTGTAGAATTTTAATTTTGATTTAAAGCTTTCGTGACTGCAGGGATTCATCTTCTTGGTTCTTTCGGTAAAGTCACGTAGAAGGGAAATAATAAAATAATAAAAATAAAACATAATAAAATACAATTCTCACGACGTTTCGGCCACAACGCAAGCAGCCGTCCTCAGGTGAGAGGACGGCTGTCTTGCGTTGTGAGAATTATTTAATTATGTTTTATTTGTATTTTATTATTTCCCTTGTACTGTACGTGACTTTACCGAAAGAACCAAGAAGAATAACACCCTTGTTACTTACACAAACTGTTCGGGTGGTAGAGGGTTAACGATGTTGAGGATTTTGGCATTAAAAAGCCGCTACCGCGTGTAGCATTACCTGACGGCAAACGCGAATCGGGGAGTGGGGGAGTCCTCGGGCGATTTTGCGAATCATCTCGGCTGCGATGGTTGTGGGCGCCACGCTACCGTTGCGCGCCGTTGAGCGTCGGCGTGTCTCGCAGGACCACGAGTTTCAACCGCCCAGCTCAAACTTGCCGTTCGGTTATAATTGTTCCAACGATGGATGACGATGACAAAGGATCGGCCGCCCGTTTCGAGGCTGCGCTGGCTGAATAATTTGCGGAGTCATTTGGGAAAATGTAGACCGTGACGACGGCACATGGTGGCCTCCTCTTGCGAACGGCGTCACGGGATCTTCGGCATCCAGGGTGAAGCGCACGGAGTATAAATATTTGTAATTGTTTAATACCGCGGCATTAACCGGGTCGGCCGCTGGGATCGAACCGTGAACCTCCGGTAATGTCGCTGGCCACGTCGCCACCCGCTTGTGGTGGTTGTTGTGGTTGTGGTGGTGGTTGTGGTGGTGGTTGTTGTTGTTGTGCATTAACCCAGTGGTTGTCAAAGTGAAAAGCAGTCAGAGTCAATGACAGGGTCTTATTGCCTCGTGTGGTTAGGGTCCTGTTCGCTATTTCAATTGCAGTAGAACCTTGGATTGCGAGTAACTTGATCTGCGAGTGTTTTGCAAGACGAGCAAACATTTTAAATAAATATTAATTTGATAAACGAGCGAGGTCTTGCAATACGAGTAGTACGAGTATACGCTTTGTCTGCCGAGCGTCACGTGATCACAACTGTTTGATATACGAGTGCTTTGATATACGAGTGCTTTGGATTACAAACAAGTTTCCGGCACGAATTATGCTCGCAATCCAAGGTTTTACTGTAGAGTCAGGCAAGGTGTCGGTAGGGTTAGTGGCTGGTTCGCGTGTCAGATCCAGTTCTGGGTGAGGAGGGTGTGACAGGTGCCTGCTTAGCCCGTGGTACCCTCTCCTTAACCCTGTGCCTGTCTCCCAGCATTATTTGTTCACCGGATCACTTCACGCCGTCCATCGTCCAGTCTATTCCCCTGCGTTGCCTGCGTGCATGCGTGCGTCTCTGCGTCCCACATCCTGGCGCGGTGCATCATGCCAAGCGTCGTGTGCCATTGGCCTCGATTTAAGTTTGCCTGCTTAGTTCCGCTTTCCCTATCAATCCACTCGTGCTCCCTCCCCCCACACCCACCCCCCTTGACCAGTGCTCTCTGTTCGCCGGAGAGAGCTCTGGCCAGAGCGGCGGTTGCGGTGGCAATAGATTGGGTTCAGGGTTCAGGGTTCAGCAGTACCGACGGTCACCCGAGCACGGTACGAAGTTGGCACGTTTCATTCGCCGCCTCGATCTCTCCAAGAAGGTCACGCGTTGAGGCCCGGCACCGCCGAGATCCTAACTCGGACTCCGGGTTTCACCCGCCCGTGATTTTTTTTTTTTAATAGATAAGCAGACGATACTGTCCGCTGCGCATACCTAAATATATAAAACGTATTTGTTACACAATGTGTCGGTCGGTATGGCCTTCTGGGAGTGCATACGTTTAGCAGCATTGATTCCGTGCAAGCCAAAACCGGTTTTAACACGCGGTGTCTTCGCGGCAAAGAGATTCGGCACAGCGATGGGAGAGACCGAACGTTATGGGGGGGGGGGGGGAGAGCGATGAGGCACCTGGGGAGATGAAACGTACAGACCCATGGTCACCTTTAAGACGCGACGACATCGCGTTGACGTCACGACGCCTGTTATCATGCCCAAACCATCCATAATTCTGACAACTGAAACTTTTTTTTTATTGTAATTTAAAAAAAAAAAATTGTAATAAAAAAAGTTGTAATCTTAAACATTTTTTTATTGTAACACATTTTTATTTTTATTTTTTTTGTAATTTTAAAACTATCGTCTGACTAATATCCCCACAAACAACTATCATTCGAAAAGCTCACCCCCTCCTATCACTTAGGAAATAGCATGCCTGTTAGACCTTCCTTCTGCTAACATCTCAGCCTGATGAAATTATGGCTCGCTCTTAAGCTTATATCTAATCTTACAAATTACTACAGCATTAATTCTTGCTATACACTATACCGCTAACACTGAACTAGCCTCCTCTTCAGTTATACACATTTGCCGTGGGCACATCATGACGTCCACGACGTCTTGATGCCTGAGCGCGCGCGGCATGTCGACTTCTCCTGGCCCGCCGATGCAAACGCTGAATTTGATCGCGCGGCCCGCTTTAATGTATCGCTGAAGAGCGCCCCCCCCCCCCCCCCAGCACAAATCGATTTTTGTTTCGCCTGCTTGGGTGGCTGCTTCGCGCTTTCGCCGCTTGCTTGCCCGCGCTGCCGCTGCTCGCTTGGCTTGGCCGTCGCTCGTGGGCGGTGGCGTGTGACCCGTGACCTGTGACCTAACAGAGATGGCCTCGCTCGCACTCGGGGAGTTGTTCATTCGCCCGCCTCGCTGCCGCTTCTGCGGCGAACGCCGATTTGCCGCGGCGGTGAGCCGCGTAGCGGTGCCCGGAATCGTCGATTTAAATTGTATCTTCTTGGTTCTTTCGGTAAAGTCACGTAGAAGGGAAGCAATAAAATAATAAAGATAAAACATAGTACGATAATTTTCACGACGTTTCGGCCACGACGCAGGCAGCCGTCCTCGGGTGAAGACCAGGTCTGTCGGGGAGACAGCGTCTGAAACCAAGAAGATGAATCCCTGCAGTCACGAAAGCTTTAAATCGAAATTTTAATTGTATCGTCAGGCTCGCGGAGCGCGCACCGAGGCGCACGCGCACGCGCATCGCCGATTCGTCGTTTAAAAACTAAATAAATGTGACGTATAGGACCGAGGGGCGAGCGATAATTGTACAAACGAGAGAAACAAAACGGGAAGCGAGGGCGAAAACGAGACGGAAATAAATCCACGCTCGAATCGAATCTGGGAACCCCGAGTCGTGTGACATTTGATCGAATCGCCTGGCAACAATTCCGTTGGCCTGTGCCAAAACTATGCCCGACAATGCCATCGCCATGATCATCATCATCATCATCATCCCCCTGTTGGGTCAAGGCCACGACCACGCGCACCCGCACGTCGGTTGCGGCGTTATTGTGGCGACGGCGTTAGTGTGGTTATGGTGTTGTTGTGGTTACGGTGTTGTCTTGATGGCGTTGTTGTGGCGACGGTGTTGTCGTCTTGACGGCGTTGTTGTGGTTACGGCGTTGTCGTCTTGACGGCGTTGTCGTGGTTACGGTGTTGTTGTTGTCTTGACGGCATTCCCCCCCCCTGCCCATCCCGCAGGCACCTTCATCCGCGGCCTCGAGACCACCGCCACGTTCGACGCCGCCACTCAGGAGTTCGTGCTGCACAGTCCAACCGTCACCTCCATCAAGTGGTGGCCGGGCGGCTGTGAGTGCGCCCCCCACCGACCCCCCCCCCGGGTGTTTCACTGCCCCCCCCCCCCCCCCCCCCCCGCTGCTGTTCACATGTAATGGCACGTGCAGAACTTTCGAGAATCCACTTCCGGGGAGGCCGGGGGGTTGTCTGACCGTACTTTCCCACCGCTCCGGTCAACGCGGGTTGTTAAAGGCAGGGAGCATTGGTTACACGGTACGACGCTTGCCTTGGAGCTGCGCTGTCCTCCGCTTCCGAACGCAAGTGGATGGAGAGATTTTATTGATTCACTTCGGCTGCCAGGGCCCCAAGACACGGGACAGATCGCAGCCACGCAAAGCAGCCTGTGACGCCGCCGATTGCCAGTCGGAGCGTTCCTCCTGCTCCTGCTGCTTCTCGTGACCACTTCTTAATCACCATTGAAATTGAGAGAAACAGAAATAACTTTAATCGCTCGGACAGCTACAGGCTTAGTGCGGCCTGGAAGCGTATTATTAAATAAGATGCATTACAATTTCTTATAAGGGAAACAAACACTAACTGATTACTAATGTAGCATAATAACAATAAAACACATTCCAAATGATTACTAATCTACAACTCGCATCGTAACAATAGCCTGATTACTAATCTAGTATATAATTACAATAACTACCCCCTCAAATCTTTGCACCTGATGAGTTAATGAGTTGATGATGATGTCACCCTGCTGCTGCTGCTGCTCTATATAAGAACGGGAGACACAGCAGAGCCTCACCATTCTGGCGAATTGCCCGATGATGCTGGATGCAATTACCAGCGAAACGTCGTACTACTCAAATTGTAAATGTTGTGGTTTCACGCTTCAACACACCGGTGGGGCTAAAGCAGTGAACTATTTGTCTTTTGTCAACGTGACACTTTTTTACTGATTGGCCGTGTGTCGGGTGGTGGAGGGTTACGACACATTTTTAAATAACGCGATCTCGACCCAAAAACGTTGATTTTGAATAATATTGGTCGCGAAAGCCTGCTCCGTGTTAAACTGACTTCTTAATCGCGTTGCTCTCTGAAGAGAGGGTGTGGTGGTGGTGGGGGGGGGGGCATCGTTGGGGGGGGAAGCTTGGTGGTGCTTCGTCGCGAAGCGTACTTGCATAGTGGGGAGCGGTAGTGGTGGTCAACGCATTGCGCTACGAACCCGTCGTCCGGAGTTCGAATCCCGCTCACGGCCGACACCGGTGACGATGATCTGAATCGCTCCTGGGCCTCCACTAGGTCGACTCGGCCTCAAATGAGTACCTGGTGCTGGTGTGGAAACGTCACCACTGGGGAGACAAAGGCGGTCGGGCGTGGTGCTGGCCACCCACCCCCTCGTGTTTCGTGCCGGCCTTCATAGGCGCTCGCTAACAGCAGCTTGCCCCAACAGTCCTGTTAAGGCTACACGGGGGATCTTTGTCTTTGGGGAGCGGTGGCGCAGCAGTTAGCGCACTGCGCGACAAGCCTGGCGACCGGAGCTCTTTCCCGAGTCGCGGCCAACATTTGTGATGAACATCTGAACCGGTCCTGGGCCTCTCCCCTAGGTCGACTCGGCCTTAAATGAGTCACCTGGTGCGACGCATGTAAACATCGGGTGTGGTGCTGGCCACCCGCCCCCCCCAGCGGTCTGATGAAGGCTCTACGGCAAGGGTGGGGAACCTTGTTTTTGCCAAGGGCCATTTGGATAATTAAAACATCATTCGCGGGCCATACAACATTATCAACTTAAAAATTAGCCCGTTATGTTTGGTCAAACGTTTAATTCACTCGCCCCTAACGCGATGGACTGGAACTGCTTCTCTTTGGCGAGGCGTGTGATGATGTTAGCTGGTGTTGATGATGTTGCTGCTACTCGCAACTGCTTTTCCAGGTTTGCTCCGAGATTTGTTGAATGTCGAGTCCCGCCTGCGGTTGCCTTGCCAGGGCCACACCAAATGATTTTGCGGGCCTTGTACGGCCCGCCGGCCGGACGTTCCCCACCCCGATCTTCGGTGAAGGGGGGGGGGGGAATGTTCTTTTGTTTCTATTTTGATTAAAACGTTTCTTGCGACCTGTCACGTATGTTACGTTTGCCAGGGAACCGATGCTTTTTTGTCGATGAAACCCGATTTCAAGAGCTTTGTGGCTCACCAGGGCACTAATTCTAGATTTGAGGGTTTCGTGACTGCAAGGATTCATATTCTTAGGTTTTTTCGGTAAAGTCACGTAGGTAAACATTTTTTTAAATAAAAATTAATAAAAGTAAAAGTAAAATAAAAATAAAATAAAAATCACGACGTTTCGGAGGCAACACAAGCTTCCGTCTTCAAGTGGAACCGTCACAGCACGCTTGCTGTATCAAGTAAATGAGAGATTCCAAGAGATACTACCCCGTATATAAACTGGTTGAGGGGGGGCATGAGCCAGGACAGGCCCCCTTTTTATTATTATGATAAGGTTGGTGCGGCTTGAGACTACGACTAGTCTACATAACAAAGGACTGAGCCTTTGTTATGTAGACTGGCTGAGAGGTGAGGGGGGGGTGCCAGAGTTGTTAAAGTGCAACTGCTGCTAATGAGACCAGGGCACCTTCAGTGTGAACTGAAACTAAAGCGATCTTTGTAGCTCACCCAGGAGGGCAGCTTCAGAGTGAACTGAAACTGAAGCGATCTTTGTAGCTCACCAGGGCACCTTCAGTGTTAAACTGAAACTAAAGCGATCTTTGTGACTCACCCAGGAGGGCACCTTCCGAGTGAAACTGAAACTAAAGCGATCTTTGTTACTCACCAGGGCACCTTCAGTGTGAAACTGAAACTAAAGCGATCTTTGTAGCTCACCCAGGAGGGCACCTTCCGAGTGAAACTGAAACTAAAGCGATCTTTGTTACTTACCAGGGCACCTTCAGAGTGAAACTGAAACTAAAGCGATCTTTGTGACTCACCCAGGAGGGCACCTTCAGAGTGAAACTGAAACTAAAGTGATCTTTGTTACTTACTAGGGCACCTTCAGTGTGAAACTGAAACTAAAGTGATCTTTGTTACTTACTAGGGCACCTTCAGTGTGAAACTGAAACTAAAGCGATCTTTGTGACTCACCCAGGAGGGCACCTTCCGAGTGAACTGAAACTAAAGCGATCTTTGTAGCTCACCAGGGCACCTTCAGAGTGAAACTGAAACTAAAGCGATCTTTCTAGCTCACCCAGGAGGGCACCTTCCGAGTGAAACTGAAACTAAAGCGATCTTTGTAGCTCACCAGGGCACCTTCCGAGTGAAACTGAAACTAAAGCGATCTTTGTAGCTCACCAGGGGCACCTTCAGAGTGAAACTGAAACTAAAGCGATCTTTGTAGCTCACCCAGGAGGGCACCTTCAGAGTGAAACTGAAACTAAAGCGATCTTTGTTACTTACTAGGGCACCTTCAGAGTGAAACTGAAACTAAAGCGATCTTTGTGGCTCACCAGGAGGGCACCTTCCGAGTGAAACTGAAACTAAAGCGATCTTTGTGGCTCACCCAGGGCACCTTTAGTGTGAAACTGAAACTAAGAAGCGATCTTTCTAGCTCACCCAGGAGGGCACCTTCCGAGTGAAACTGAAACTAAAGCGATCTTTGTAGCTCACCAGGGCACCTTCAGTGTGAAACTGAAACTAAAGCGATCTTTGTGGCTCACCCAGGAGGGCACCTTCCGAGTGAACTGAAACTGAAGCGATATTTGCCTTGGCAGTGGGCAAGACGTCAAACCACGCGGTGGTGCTGGCCCAGCTGTACACGCGCGGCAAGTGCCACGGCCTGCACGCCTTCATCGTGCAGCTGCGCGACATGGAGACACACATGCCGCTGCCTGGTAAGAGCCCTCCTCCATCGTTGTTGTTTCCTACGTCGTTGTTGTTGTTGTCTCCCCCGTTGGTGTTGTTGTCTTCCCATTGTTGTTGTCTCCGCGTTCCCACCCCTCGAACCCCCACCCACCGATGGATCTGGCTCTCCCCTCTTTTGTATCCCCTCCCAGGCATCGTCGTCGGTGACATCGGCCCCAAGTTCGGCTACGACGAGGTGGACAACGGCTTCCTGAAGTTTGAGCACGTGCGCGTGCCTAGGAAGAACATGTTGATGAAGTATGCCAAGGTGAGCGGCAGAGGTCGCAAACGGGTTTTGATTCCTTACCCGTACCCGTACCCGGCCGCACCAGGGTCGCAAACGGCTACCCGTACCCGTTCCCTACCCGTACCCGTTCCCTACCCGTACCCTACCCCGAAATGAGTGACAAACAGTTACTCACCAGTGACTCACGGCCTACCCGTACCCGGCCGCACCAGGGTCGCAAATGGGTACCCGTACCCAGCTGGGTACGGGTACCCGTTCCCTACCCGTACCCTACCCCAAAATGAGTGACAAACAGTTACTCACCAGTGACTCACGGCGTACCCGTACCCGGCCGCACCAGGGTCGCAAATGGGTACCCGTACCCGGCCGGGTACAGGTAGCCGTATCCTACCCGTACCCTACCCGAAATGAGTGACAAACGGCTACTCACCAGTGACTCACGGCCTACCCGTACCCGTACCCGGCCGCACCAGGGTCGCAAACGGGTACCCGTACCCGGCCGGGTACGGGTAGCCGGGTATCGGGTAGGGTACGGGTATCGGGTACCCAGGTGCGACCTCTGGTGAGCGGGGACAAGGGGGCGGCCACGGAAATCTCCCCCCCCCCTCCCCGCCATCGTCTATCCGGCACAGTGGTTCTTCATCGCAAGCCCCCCCCCCCCCCCCCCCCCCCCACGTGGGCAACTAGCGGCCCCCCCTGGTGGCCTGGTGGCCTTTAGTGCGGCCCCTGACGTGCGGCCCCCCTACCGCCCCCCACCATCATCATCGTGCTGCTGTCACAAAGCCCCAGTGGTTTGAAATGCGTGGCGGCCCTCACACACCGATGATGTGTTATCGGCGAAAGTAACCCCCCCCTCTAGAAATATGTGAAAAACACCGCTGTACAGCAACCACGTGGCTTTGTCACGTGACCATCTGCTGGTGCAGTGCGTTGTTTTGACCCGTGGCTTTCTGAGACCCTGCACCTCTCAGCCCCCACCTGGTTCAGTCTCGTAATGCAACGTGCCGCACTTACGCGTGCGTCGTGTGTGTGTGTGTGTGTTCATCTTCTTGGTTCTTTCGGTAAAGTCACGTAGAAGGGAAATAATAAAATAATAAAAATTAAACATAATCATTCAGACGCTGTCTCCCCGACAGACCTGTTCTTCACCTGAGGACGACTGCTTGCGTTGTGGCCGAAACGTCGTGAGAATTATTTTATTATGTTTTATTTTTATTATTTTATTATTTCCTTCTACGTGACTTTACCGAAAGAACCAAGAAGATGAATCCCTGCAGTCACGAAAGCTTTAAATCGAAACATGTGTGGCATTGTCGTGCCTACGTACGCTTGTGCGCGTGGCGGCTGCTTAGGTGGAGGAGGACGGCACGTACGTGAAACCGCCCAGCGACAAGCTGACCTACGGCACTATGGTGTTCGTGCGCTCGATGATCGTGAGCGACGCGGCGCGGGCGCTGTCGCAGGCCTGCACCGTCGCCATCCGCTACAGCGCCGTGCGCCACCAGTCCGAGATGACGCCCGGGTACGCTGCCGCCAGCACGACGCGACCCCCCCCCCACCCCCTTGTCGCACGCGGGGTTCGAGGGGGGGGGTGGCAGCGGCGACGTTGACCGGCGGTGGGTGCCGTTCGCCAGAGGTCGCAAACGGGTTTTGATTCCTTACCCGTACCCGTACCCGGCCGCACCAGGGTCACAAACGGGTATCCGTACCCGTACCCGGCCGGGTACGGGTAGCCGTTCCCTACCCGTACCCTACCCGAAATGAGTGACAAACGGTGACTCACCAGTGACTCACGGCCTACCCGTACCCGTACCCGGCCGCACCAGGGTCGCAAACGGCTACCCGTACCCGGCCGGATACGGGTAGCCGGGTATCGGGTAGGGTACGGGTATCGGATACCCGATTGCGACCTCTGCCGTTCGCCGATCGTTGCCGCGGACGCTCGCCGTTCGAATGCAGCGGCCGTCCTGGTTATTGTGACACGTAGGCTTTCGCGACCAATGTCATTAGTTAGAAAGACTTTTGGGTTAGATTCGCGTAAGTATAAATCTACATCCACAGGAGATTTTACAACTTTTAAAGCCATTCCCCTCGTGATCGGTGTACACACCGTGCAACACGTTTGGAATCGAAAGGAGTAATTTTGACTTACAAACAAATCGACTTACAAACAGAACTTTGAAACCTAATTCGTTCGTAAGTAGAGGCGTTCCTGTATGTATGTACAGTTGACTCTCGATTATGTGTGAGTCTATGGGTCTCTGTGTGAGTCTATGGGTCTCTGTGTGAGTCTATGGGTCTCTGTGTGAGTCTATGGGTCTCTGTGTGAGTCTATGGGTCTCTGTGTGAGTCTATGTGTCTCTGTGTGAGTCTATGGGTCTCTGTGTGAGTCTATGTGTCTCTGTGTGAGTCTGTGTCTCTGTGTGAGTCTATGGGTCTCTGTGTGAATCCATGGGTCTCTGTGAGTCTATGGGTCTCTGTGTGAGTCTATGGGTCTCTGTGTGAGTCTATGGGTCTCTGTGAGTCTATGGGTCTCTGTGTGAGTCTATGGGTCTCTGCGAGAGTCTATGGGTCTCTGCGAGAGTCTATGGGTCTCTGTGTGAGTCTATGGGTCTCTGTGTGAGTCTATGGGTCTCTGCGAGAGTCTATGGGTCTCTGTGTGAGTCTATGGGTCTCTGTGTGAGTCTATGGGTCTTTGCGAGAGTCTGTGGGTCTCTGTGTGAGTCTATGGGTCTCTGTGTGAGTCTATGGGTCTCTGTGTGAGTCTATGGGTCTCTGTGTGAGTTTATGGGTCTCTGTCTGAGTTTATGGGTCTCTGTGAGTCTATGGGTCTCTGTGTGAGTCTATGGGTCTCTGCGAGAGTCTGTGGGTCTCTGTGTGAGTCTGTGGGTCTCTGTGAGTCTATGGGTCTCTGTGTGAGTCTATGGGTCTCTGTGTGAGTTTATGGGTCTCTGTCTGAGTCTATGGGTCTCTGTGTGAGTCTATGGGTCTCTGCGTGAGTCTATGGGTCTCTGTGTGAGTTTATGGGTCTCTGTGTGAGTCTATGGGTCTCTGTGTGAGTCCATGGGTCTCTGTGTGAGTCTATGGGTCTCTGTGTGAGTCTATGGGTCTCTGCGTGAGTCTTTGGGTCTCTGTGTGAGTCTATGGGTCTGTGTCAGTCTATGGGTTTCTGTGAGTCTATGGGTCTCTGTGTAATTATATGGGTCTCTGTGTGAGTCTATGGGTCTCTGTGAGTCTATGTGTCTCTGTGTGAGTCTGTGTCTCTGTGTGAGTCTATGGGTCTCTGCGAGAGTTTATGGGTCTCTGCGTGAGTCTATGGGTCTCTGTGTGAATCCATGGGTCTCTGTGAGTCTATGGGTCTCTGTGTGAGTCTAACGTGCGCTGTTTCACAGGGCGCCCGAGCCCCAGATCCTGGACTATCAGACGCAGCAGTACAAGCTGTTCCCGCTGCTGGCGACTGCGTACGCGTTCCAGTTCATCGGGGCGTACATGCGCGCCACATACATGCGCATCTCCGGGGACATCAACCAGGGAGATTTCCGAGAAATGCCTGAGGTAACCTGCTCCCTTCAGGGAGAAACACAATGCACACCCTTCCCTTTGAAAGCGACACAAAATGTACCTGCCTCTTTAAGAGATATCCACAATGCACCCGCCTCTTTAAGGGAGATCCACAATGCACCCGCCTCTTTAAGGGAGATCCACAATGCACCCGCCCCTTTAAGAGAGATCCACAATGCACCTGCCCCTTTAAGAGAGATCCACAATGCATCTGCCCCGTTAAGGGAGATCCACAATGCACCCACCCCTTTAAAAATGACAATGCACCTGCCCCTTTAAGATAATTTTTTTTACCTGCCCCTTTAAGAGATATCCACAATGCACCCACCTCTTTAAGAGATATCCACAATGCACCTGTCCCTTTAAGAGAGATCCACAATGCCCCTGCCCCTTTAAGGGAGATCCACAATGCACCCACCCCTTTAAAAGTAACAATGCACCTGCCCCTTTAAGAGAACCCACAGCGCACCCAGCCCCTTTAAGAGACCCTGGCAAGCCATCTTCTCTGGTAGCTATGATAGATGGATGTGTGTCCTTATGTCTGTATGTGTGCCTGTGTGTCTGTGTATATGTGCGAGGAGTGGTGGCGCAGTGGTTAGGCCGCTGCGCTACGACCCTAGCGATGCAAGTTCAATTCCCACTCAAATACAACATCGGTCCTGAATATCTAAACTGATACTAGGTGTCACCCAGGTCAACGCAGCCTAAAATGTTAGTGGCCACCCATTTCCTCCCCATATATGGACGTATGTTGAACATCTCTTGCGCCGTACAAAAAGACAAAATCTGACCTGTTGGCCTTCATATGTGCCCATTAACAGCATTTGGGGCACCACGATGGTGAGATGTTAACTACCTCGCCCGATATACAGGAAGCTGTGGGTTCGATCGCGACCCTGACACCTGCTGTACATTTGGAGTTTGCGTTTTTCTCTCTCTCATCATCACCGCGGTGGCGAGGAGATGTTGACGACCTTGCCTGGTATACGGGAGGTCGTGGGTTCGATCCCGACCCTGACGCCTGCTGCTGTATATTTGGAGTTTGCGTGTCTCTCTCTCTCTCATCATCATGGTGGCTAGGAGATGTTAACTACCTCGCCTGGTATACAGGAAGCTGTGGGTTCGATCGCAACCCTGACGCCTGCTGTATATTTGGAGTTTGCGTTTTTCTCTCTCTCTCATCATCATCGCGGTGGCTAGGAGATGTTAACTACCTCGCCTGGTATACAGGAAGCTGTGGGTTTGATCGCAACCCTGACGCCTGCTGTATTTTTGTAGTTTGCGTGTCTCTCTCTCCCCGTGGTCGCGTGGACTTTTCTCCGACCCCTCCGATTTCTCGCTCCACGTTCGGCATCGACGTTACGCGTTTAGAGTGTCCGGCTGTGGTCAATTTTCGCGTGACAAAGCCACTCGGGTTGAGCTATCAATTGTTGGCCAGGTCGCTTCTGGCGAATTGCCCGATGATGCTGGATGCAATTACCAGCGAAACGTCGTACTACTCAAATTGTAAATGTTGTGGTTTCACGCTTCAACACACCGGTGGGCTAAAGCAGTGAACTATTTGTCCTTTGTCAACGTGACACTTTTTTTACTGATTGGCCGTGTCGAGTGGCGGAGGGTTACGACACATAAATAACGCGATCTGAACCCAAAAACGTTGATTGTGAATTCTGAAACAGAGCTACGCAACTCAGTTTTGGGACCCCCTTACCTGGTAAGCAAAGAAAAATAAACATTTCGTTTAGCTTCAACAGCCTACCAAAGGCTACTTACGCGGCGGTGATCTGTGCGCGCGAGCAGCTGCACGCCACGTCAGCCGGCCTGAAGGCCTTCACGAGCTGGGCGGCAAGCAGCGGCATCGAGGTGTGTCGCATGGCCTGCGGGGGCCACGGCTACTCATGCTCCAGCGGCCTGCCCGACCTCTACGTCACCTTCACCTCGGCCTGCACCTACGAGGGAGAGAACACCGTCATGATGCTGCAAACCGCCAGGTGCCCTCGCGCACCAGTCTCTCCCCGCCGCCACCCCTCCCTCTCCCTCCACCACCACCACCCCCCCGTCTCTACACCTGACCCCTTCCGCACACTGTCTGTCTGCCTGTCTATGTCTGCCTGTCTGTCTATGTCTGTCTGTGTCTGTCTGTCTCTGTCTGCCTGCCTGCCTGTCTGTCTGTCTCTGTCTGTCTGTCTATCTCTGTCTGTCTGCCTGTCTGCCTGTCTGTCTGTCTGTCTCTGTCTGTCTGTCTATCTCTGTCTGTCTGCCTGTCTGTCTCTGTCTGTCTGTCTGCCTGTCTGTGTGTCTGTCTGTCTCTGTCTGCCTGTGTGTCTGTCTGTGTCTGTCTGTGTCTGTCTGTCTGTCTGTGTGTCTGTCTGTCTTTGTCTGCCTGTCTGTCTGCCTGTCTGTCTTTCTCTGTCTGTCTGTCTATCTCTGTCTGTCTGTCTTTCTCTGTCTGTCTGTGCTGTCTGTCTGTGTGTCTGCCTGTCTGACTGTCGGTCTGCCTGTCTGTTTGCCTGTCTGTCTGTCTTTCTCTCTCTGTCTGTCTGTCTATCTCTGTCTGTGTGTCTGTGTGTCTGCCTGTCTCTGTCTGCCTGTCTGTGTGTCTGTCTGTCTGTCTGTCTGCCTGTTTGTCTGTCTGCCTGTCTGTCTGTCTATCTGTCTGTCTGTCTTTCTCTGTCTGTCTGTCTATCTCTGTCTGCCTGTGTGTCTGTCTGTGTCTGTCTGTCCGTCTGTGTGTCTGTCTGTCTCTGTCTGCCTGTCTGCCTGTGTGTCTGTCTGTCTGTCTCTGTCTGCCTGCCTGTCTGTATCTCTGTCTGCCTGTCTGTCTGCCTGTCTGCCTGTCTGTCTATCTCTGCCTGTGTGTCTGCACACCTCTCCGTCTCTCCACATGTCTACCAATATGCATGCCTATCTAGATATCTTCCAACATACCTGCTTGTTTGTCTGCCTACCTGCGTACCTGCCTACCTGCGTACCTGCCTACCTGCCTGCCTGCCTACCTATCTAGATATCTTCCAACATACCTGCTTGTTTGTCTGCCTACCTGCCTACCTGCCTACCTGCGTACCTGCTAATTTTCCATCGTCCATCTACGAACATGCCTGTGTGTCTGTTTGTCTCTCAGCCTGCCTATCTAGATATCTTCCAACATACCTGCCTGTTTGTCTACCTACCTGCGTACCTGCCTACCTGCGTACCTGCCTACCTGCGTACCTGCTAATTTTCCATCGTCCATCTACGAACATGCCTGTGTGTCTGCCTGTCTCTCAGCCTGCCTATCGGCACAACATGCCTGCCTCTCTGCCTCCTTGTCTTCCTGCCTGCCTATCCACCTTGCCGCTTTACCTGTGTGTACGCTGAACTTCTTTCGCATCGTACGTAGCCACCCGTGCTGATCGTTCTAGCCCCTCTGTGTCCTTCTGCCTTTCAACCAAGCCTGGCTGTCGACACCAATGAATGCCTCTCTTTGTAACCGGCTTGTACCCTGTCCCACTCGTCGCCCACCCCCTTGCGTGCGTGCGTGCGTGCTTGCGTGCTTGCTTGCGTGCGTGCGTGCGTGCGTGCGTGCGTGCGTGTGTGCGTGCGTGCGTGCGTGCGTGCGTGCGTGCGTGTGTGCGTGCGCGTGCGTGCGTGTGCGTGCGTGCGTGTGTGTGTGCGTGTGTGTGTGCGTGTGTGTGTGCGTGTGGGTGTGCGTGCGTGTGTGTGTGCGTGCGTGTGTGCGTGCGTGCGTGCGTGTGTGTGCGTGTGTGCGTGCGTGCGTGTGTGCGTGCGTAGGTACCTGATGAAGAGCTACAGCCAGGTGCGCGCCGGCAAGCCTCTGAGCGGGCTGGTGTCGTACCTCAACGAGCTGTCGCACGGCGGCCGCGTGAGACCTCGGGCGGTCGGCGGCGTCGCCGGGGACATCGCCAACCTCGCCGGGCTGGTGCAACTTTACGGGCAGCGCGCCGCCGTGTAAGCGGTGCACCACGCTTGTCCGGCACGCGTGCGCGAACGACGGGCCGCTCGCCGCTTCCCGTTGCCGCGAAAAATGCCAACCCCCATTCGGCTGGGGGGGCGGGGGGAAGTCCTTTGTTTCGCGTCGCGTTTAGCAACGTGCCCTAACACTCACGGGCTAACGCGTTTATCTGTATGCACTAACGCCTACGCGTTAGCTACAGGCCTTGACGCCCACGAGCTAACGCGTTTAGCCACGTGCCCTCACACCCACAAGCTAACGCGTTTAGCCACGTGCCCTCACGCCCACAAGCTAACGCGTTTAGCCACGTGCCCTCACGCCCACAAGCTAACGCGTTTAGCCACGTGCCCTCACGCCCACGAGCTAACGCGTTTAGCCACGTGCCCTCACGCCCACAAGCTAACGCGTTTAGCCACGTGCCCTCACGCCCACGAGCTAACGCGTTTAGCCACGTGCCCTCACGCCCACAAGCTAACGCGTTTAGCCACGTGCCCTCACGCCCACGAGCTAACGCGTTTAGCCACGTGCCCTCACGCCCACAAGCTAACGCGTTTAGCCACGTGCCCTCACGCCCACGAGCTAACGCGTTTAGCCACGTGCCCTCACGCCCACAAGCTAACGCGTTTAGCCACGTGCCCTCACGCCCACGAGCTAACGCGTTTAGCCACGTGCCCTCACGCCCACAAGCTAACGCGTTTAGCCACGTGCCCTCACGCCCACGAGCTAACGCGTTCTCTAACGCGGCTGTGTGCGGCCCGTCAATAGGGAGGGCCCCCTGAGCCACGCAGCTCTTTCTCAGGAGCCGCCCGCCTGTTGCAAACGGGAGCTCGACGAAGGGGCACATCGCGTAGGACATTTATAGCGGCCAAATAACTCTAAACGCGCGACGTGGATTCTAAACGTGGGGTGAAAAACCGGAGGACGCGGAGAAAAATCCACGCGACCACGGTGGGGGAGACAGAGAGACACGCAGATTACAAATATACAGCAGCAGACGTCAGGGTCGGGATCGAACTCACGACCTTCTGCACACCAGGCGAGGTAGTTAACATCTCCCTAGCCAACGTGATGATGATGAGAGAGAGAGACACGCAAACTCCAAATATACAGCAGCAGGCGTCAGGGTCGGGATCGAACTCACGACCTCCTGTAGACCAGGCGAGGTAGTTAACATCTCCTAGCCACCGTGGTGATGATGAGAGAGAGGCACGCAAACTCCAAATAGACAGCAGCAGGCGTCAGGGGTCGTGATTGAGCTCCTGTAGACCAGGCGAGGCAGTTAACATCTCTTAGCCACCGTGGCGCCCCATATACATGGGTGCAAATGTGCAAAACCTAAACCGGAAACAAAAACGCACATCTCTTGTTCTGACCCTGGGGTCCGCATTGTTTGGGGTGTGGGGGGGGTGGGTGGGGGGGTGCAGGCTGGTGGAGTCGGCCGCGAGGAACATGCAGGCGGAGCTGAGCGCCGGCAGGAGCCCCGAGGAGGCATGGAACGGGGCCTCCGTGGAGCTGGTGCGCGCTTCTGAGGTGAGGGGGAGAGGGGTGGGGGGGGGGGGGGGGGTGGGGTGGGGTGGGCGAGAGGGGGTGGAGAGGGGGTGGGGGTGGGGAGAAGGGGTGGCGGGGAAGGGGTGAGAGGGAGAGGGGGTGGGAGTGGGGGGGAAGGGGCGGGGGGGTGGGGGCGGGGGGGAAGGGGTGGGGGAAGGGCGGGGGGTGGGGCGGGGGGGAAGGGGTGGGGGGGAAGGGGCGGGGGGGTGGGGGCGGGGGGGAAGGGGCGGGGGGGAAGGGGTGGCGTTTGGGGTGGGGGGGAAGGGGTAAGGGGGAAGGGGCGGGGTGGGGGGGAAGGGGTGGGGGGGAAGGGGCGGGGGGGAGGGGGCAGCGTTGGGGTGAGACAAAGACGGCCGGTCGTGGTGCCTGAGGACGGCTGCTTGCGTTGTGGCCGAAACGTCGTGAGAATTATTTCATCACGTTTTATTTTTATTATTTTACTACTTCCCTTCTACGTGATGACTTTACCGAAAGAACCAAGAAGATGACTCTAAAAAGTATTGTTCTGATTAGAACTACCTGCCTTCGTGGTGACCTCGCGGCGCAAACAAAGCGGGGGAAACAATGAACTCGCGATGAATTGTCTTGCGTGCGTGCGTCGTTGCGTGCTCCCCCCCGCCCCCCGCCCAGGGTCACTGCTACTACGTGGTGGTGAAGACGTTCGTGGAGAAGCTGGCGGAGGTGAGCGATCCTGGCGTCCTCGCCGTGCTCACCGCGCTCTGCCAGATGTACGCGCTCTACGGCGTCACCCAGCACGGACGCGACTTCCTGGAGGTGCGTGCTGGTGGTGGTGGTGGAGGTGTTTGGTGGTGGTGCGTGGTGGTGGTGGTGGTGCTCCTCGTGGTGCTGGTGGTGGTGGTGGCGGTGCGTGGTGGAGGTGCGTGATGGTGGTGGTGGTGGAGGTGTGTGGTGGTGGTGGAGGTGCGTGGTGGTGTGTGGTGGCGGTGCGTGGTGGAGGTGCGTGATGGTGGTGGTGGTGGAGGTGTGTGGTGGTGGTGGAGGTGCGTGGTGGTGCGTGGTGGAGGTGCGTGATGGTGGTGATGGTGGTGGTGGAGGTGTGTGGTGGTGGTGGAGGTGCGTGGTGGTGCGTGGTGGAGGTGCGTGATGGTGGTGATGGTGGTGGTGGAGGTGCGTGGTGGTGGTGGAGGTGCGTGGTGGTGCGTGGTGGAGGTGCGTGATGGTGGTGATGGTGGTGGTGGAGGTGCGTGTGGTGGTGGTGGTGGTGGTGGTGGAGGTGCGCGGTGGTGGTGGTGGTGGAGGTGCTGGTGCTGGTGGTGGTGAACCATGAAGAACCTTCTCCCCTGCCTCCCCCTCCCGCAGGCGGGGCTGCTGACGCCGCAGCAGATGGAGGGAGCGAGCGGCGCCGTCAAGGCTCTGCTGTCGAGGCTGCGCCCCGACGCCGTTGCGCTGGTGGACGCTTTCGACTTCCATGACGACATCCTGGGCTCCGTGCTCGGACGTTACGACGGCAACGTGTACGAGCACCTGTTCGAGTGGGCCAAGCGCTCCCCGCTCAACAAGACGCAGGCGAGTGGCGAGTGGCGAGTGGCGCGGGCGGGGGAGGGCAGTGCCCGCGAGATGGGAGCCAACAAAAAATTAAGCCGTAAAACCAAAGTTTTTCACTATAAATCCTTTATATGCGTGGCATCGGTTTTATTTTATTATTCATTTCTGTTTTTCTTGAGTTAAGAGTTTCGTTTTTATCACATTGGTATTTTAAATAAAATCTGAAAAAAAAATTTGTCTGTGTGCAAAATGTCAGCTCGATTGGATCACGGGAAGTGGGTTAAAAAACGAACGAAAGATTTGCACGGTCGTAAGCGCGCAAGCAAGCAAGCAAGTGAACTTAATATAAAGGATTTAAAAGTATTTCGAGCTGGCCACAATGGAACGAAACAGGAGGATTTCTGCACTAATGTGGCTGTCACCTGATGAAGCTGGTTGTAATTACTGGCGAAACGTCGTGCTCGGATTGTAAATTGTTGTGGCTTTGCTCTCCAACACACCGGTGTGCTGTACTAGTACACTACACTATACACTACACTATACACTACACTATACACTACACTATACACTACACTATACACTACACTATACATTACACTATACACTACTGCACTATACACTACACTATACACTACACTATACACTACACTATACACTACACTATACACTACACTACTATACACTACACTACTATACACTCCTATACACTACACTACTATACACTCCTATACACTACACTACACTATACACTACACTATACACTACTGCACTATACACTACTGCACTATACACTACACTATACACTACACTATACACTACACTATACACTACACTATACACTACACTATTCACTCCTATACACTACACTATACACTACACTATTCACTCCTATACACTACACTATACACTACACTATTCACTCCTATACACTACACTATACACTACACTGCTATACACTACACTATACACTACACTATTCACTCCTATACACTACACTATTCACTCCTATACACTACACTATACACTACACTATACACGACACTATTCACTCCTATACACTACACTATACACTACACTATCTTAACGCCCTCCACCACTTTTTCCCCTGCTTGTAACCAGTGACACTGAGCCATGGCTCCGCGCCTCGGGGTGAACGTTCGTACGCGTGTCCGTGAACGATCGATCGTGCGCGGTACGGTTTGCCGTTGAAGGGACGCCGAGAAGGCGGCGGTCACTAATTCGCGTCCGTTGCGTTTGACCCGCAGGTCCACGAGTCGTTCTACAAGTACATCAAACCCATGGCCTCGTCCAAGCTGTGACGAGGCTGCCCCGGGAACCTGTTCGGGCTCGCCGCTGCCGGCGACGGACACGTGCCGTGCAGCGGCACCGGGGGCTCCGTTGCCGCGCCGGCCGCGAAACCGCTCCCGTGCAAACGTCGACGCTCAACGCCCGCTAGCAGCGACGATCGCGCTCGAACACGTCGCTTCACCGAGCTTGCCCCCTCCGCCCCCGGCCGCACCGAAAGACCGCGCGCAACACCGCGACGCTGGCAGACGACCACGACGCTCGCCGACGATTGTGACGCACGCAGCCCCCCCCACGGGTCCCCGTAGCTCGCCGGGACACTCGCCGTCCTGGCCTACGGCGCGGCGATGGCACCCGCTACGACCCAACCGCGTAGCGCTGAGAGCGGCAACGCACCACAGCCTTCCACCGCAACTCCTCGCCACAACCACAGTGTCACCCAGCACCACTCTGAGCTACGACTGTGATGGTAAACCCCCGACCGCCACTACTGGACACCTGTGATAAAGGGCTTTATAGCTCGGCGGATATCGATAGATTTTCCGATTCTGACATTGACCTGCACCCACGACACTCGGCCACAACCACCACCTGCCCGCACCATCCCGTCCGCCACATCATTCAGGAGAGCCGTCCACAACCACGAGCTTACACCATCACAACAGCCCGTCCGTGTCGCCCTCCCCCCCCCCGCCTTTTTAAAGGGCCACGCAGGGCAAATCCTGCCCGCCCGCCCGCACTCTAATCCTGCAAATCGAGCCGGTGATTTCTCTCGTTTTTTTTTAAATCAAGGCGACACTTTAGAAATTCGTTTTTAGAAGACGCAGATGACGGCACGCGGCCGGTTGTCTGGGCCTTGCCTTCTGCGTGGCACGGACCCACTCTGCCAACTGCCCCCCCCACCACCCGCTGCTGCTATTTTTCTGAAATCAGTCTCCTGATCTCCCACCTATCAACGATCTGCGGTGATGATTGCCCCCCCCCCCCTCCCCTCTTGTGATTATCCTCTGCTGGAGCGGTGAGCATACTTGCACGGCAGCAACTAAAGCGGTCGTGATGTAATTATTAACATTGCTTCTCCGACGAGTACTGTAGGGTACTAAAATCACGTTTGCAGAATAAATATACTTTAAATGGGTTGTGTTGCGGCTGCTGCTGTTGTTTTTTTATTGCACATTAAAGTCACGTAGAAGGGAAGTAATAAAATAATAAAAATAAAATATTTTATTACTTCCCTTCTACGTGACTTTACCGAAAGAACCAAGAAGATGAATCCCTGCAGTCACGAAAGCTTTAAATCGAAATTTGGACATCCCCAGTGGATATTTTGTTTGCGTGGGTCTCCGTCGCAGAGCGGTGGTGCTAAGCCGGTTTAGCGTGCTGCGCTACGAACCCGGGGACCCGAGTTGGACTGTCGCTCACGGAACAACGTCGCTGACGATTGCTTAAAAGCGACCCCGGGGGCCTCTTACGAGTCCGGCTCGACATTAAATGAGCACCCGGCGGGAGTGGTGTGAACATCGGCACGGGGGCGCGGTGATAACCAACCCCACCGCATCGTTGTGCCGTGCCGGCCTTCATAGGAGCTCGCTCACAGCCAGAGGTCGCAACCGGGTACCCGATACCCGTACCCTACCCGATACCCGGCTACCCGGCCGGGTACGGGTACCCCTTTTGGCGTCTTCTGGTCCAACCCATGTGAGACTAGGCTCGAAGGAAAGCTGTCTCGGGTGTGACCAATCAACTTCAAGGACAGTGCACATTATCAGAGTTATGTCTTTTGTTTGTATTTATGACTGCAGGTATTGTGGTCTATGCAGACATGACTCCTTGTAAAAAGGTGTCAGTTTTGTTGCCAGATAGAAGGGTAAAGAACCAATTA